TTTGTATATAAAAACGCAGAATTATAATAGTTTAGGAAGCGATTTTGGATCATCAAACAGGTTTTTATTTATCCATTTTGCCCACAGTGTTATTTTACTCCTGTTAATATGTGTTCAAATATATAAATATTTTTATGACTGCATAATACTTTTACGTGGCCAAAGGGAGTGTAAAAATGGCGTTCAATGACTTCACCCCCACGGCCAGAAGCGTCAGTATAATAGAGATTAGTGGTGCAACCCCCCCCCCCCCCACCCCCTCTACTGTTATGTATCGGGCGGAAGGCGAATTATTTTTCCCAAACAACATCGTACGGACGGTTGTTGAGCGCCCTCTACGATACTTTTATGTTACGTACGCAGTTAAATAATGCATTACGGTTTCCTGTCGAGCTCTCCGATGGCTCAGTTGGACAATGCCATTGTTTTGAGATCGGAGGGTGTGAGTTCGAAATCACATTTTTTTTTTTTTTTCTTTCTAATTTGCGCTTTTGGGGATTTTTTTCTGAAGAAAAATAAAGTCCGCATTTCATTAGGTTCGAATGCATTTGTTTTTCCCTTTACATATGTTTTTCTCATGTTTTGGGGAAGTCAAAAACCCGTGATAGCGTACACCCTGTTTGCTTATGTCGTTTAGAAAAACAAATCGCTGGCGAAAGGTGACCATGGCTGATGAGTTTGAGAAGACGCCAAAACTTCCCCTCACTGCCATCTGGGATTGTCCATAAAAATTACTGAACAAAGTCTGACATTAAATCCACACATCAACAAACATAATTTCCCTCTTGCAACGAGATCTTAATACCGAAAACCATGCAGTTATGACTCATCTTGGAGTGCAGCGCTGATGATCTCATGTTTCAATACACAGGCCGGCACGCGTAATGTCCATAATCTATTCAACAAACAGCGCACCTAGCCCATTACTTAAGCTGTTGAATGGAAATAATATTGTAGCAATTATAGAAGGATTACGTCCGGAAAATACAACGGATAAGTTTGACACACTGCCTAGAGCACGGCATTAACCGCTGCCTGGTAGAACCACGGTAGAACTGTCAATATTATAGAAGAAGACCCAAACGTTTCATTTCTGGTAAATTGCGGAGCTGGAGGGCGCCATGATATTTTATCGTTTTTGCCATGGTTTGCCCTGCTTTAAAAAAAATGCACGGATCTGGGTCTGAAACATACGACTACTTTCATCCACAATTTCGAGTTGTTAATTTCAGCATACTGTGTTTATTTATTCTGTACTTTGCACCATCTCTTTTCCTATTCTTGTTACGTTTAAATATGTTCATTCTGCGCCTCGCTTTCGACTGTTTACTTTTAGCTTTTACATGATTTCCATTTTCACCCTTGAACAAGAAACATAACTTTCATAATCTTCATAATCTAGGAGCTACTATAATCGGGGTCAATTTTATATCAATTTTGTTCAAGCACTTCGGAATCGTGTCATAAATTATGTTAGGCATCCTAAAAATATGTCATAATCCACTCTCGGCTATCTGTATGTTTTTTTTTATCGCAATATTTCAATAATGTGCACAATACAGCTGGCATTTGTATACTAAAGCCCGGTCACTGACTTCTGGATCAATTTCAACCAGTTGGAAGCATGATGAACACATTCCTGTCAGGTGACCTTAAAATGCGCCTTGCTTTAGGATGTAAATCAGTCTTAAATGCACGACTGAAAAAGAATGGAAATTAATATCCACAAATCATCCTTGTCACCTTGCAATTTTGACTGTCATAATCAAGACTTGTAGGATACCATAGTACTTTGCAATCATTTAACCTGCAGTCAAATATTGACCTTTTTAACTGCAGGTGGAAATTGTGCGAGTTGTTTTGAGGATGTGGAACAGAACCCGAAGGACATATCCTCATATATTGTCGCAGAGCTGACATACCGACGAATAAGCGAAAACCCTGTTTCGAGTAATTCGCGTTTGAAGTTGGACTTTTTTTGTGGGCGTTGTATTTCACCCTTAATGTTTTGACAAAACCATTTTGGTGTATATTCGAAATAAATTAGGAAACGTAGTATCCATCGGGTTACTTATTTAATCAGAGAAAATGTGCGATATGATTTTATTTGATTGTAAACGTATTCGTCAGTTTGTCAAATTACAAAATCTCTAATAGCCGGTTCTTCTTTACGCTGTTTGTATGCTATTCGTCAGTTTGCCGGATCACGCAGGCGCGGTTCTAGAGCCGATACTTTTTTGGGGGGGGGGGGGGGGGCGGTGGCCTGCAAGGTTGATCCAGATTTTTTTTTCAGGGAGGCGTGCTGAAATGTAGACCGGTTATTTTTCTCCGGACACTTAGGCCTCTGAAAATCAATACGTGGGGGGGGGGGGTGCCATATTTTCAATGGGGAGCGCTGATAAAATCCTACAATCAGGCACACTATATTAACTAAAATTGTACAAATGCACCCTTCTCATTTAGGGGAGACCGTTCCCATGTACGTCAAATTGTTCATCTTGCTAGTGCATTTTTTTTTCATGGATTTTTTTTTTGGCTAAAGCCCCCTAGGGCCCCCCCCCCCCCCCCCCCCCCCCGTAGAACCGTCACTGGGATCGCGGGTGCACGCGCGCGCTCTGACAAACTGACGAATAACATTCGTTGGTACTTTGAACGCACACCTTACATTAGCTTGTTGCCAGCGAAATTCCGTATTCGTCACTATGTCAAATTGTGGATTTGTTATTATGACTGTTTTGCCACTGAGCGGGTACCACATAAAACGACAAAATCTCAAAAATGCCAAAATAGGCGATTCGCCTGTTCGTCAGCTCTGCTACGACATACTGAGAATATCACTAACAATGCTTCAAGACTAAATGCAACCACTGTGATAAAAAGTATGATAACCCGTATTTTAGCCATTACTCTGTAATAAACTTTTTCAAGTTTAACAATCTACAATCTTTATATACTAATATGAGGTTTAATCTTTTGTAAGTCACTTGACTCACTCCCTTTTGCTAAAGATAGAAAGCACTCAGAGAGCACAAACCTCCGCCAAGGACAAACAATTTCCCGCCATATTGTCAGTACACCCAAAAGAAATACTCGCATAAATGGTGAAGAATCCTAAAAAATCCTGGATCCAGACCAAGATCAGGATCACCTCCAAATCTAATAGATGTTCACTTGCACTAAGGACCACCCCTAAAAATAAATTTCATGTAACTACGTCCATAACTTTTCATCTTGTTAACAGACAAACCAACCAACAAACCAACCAAATTCGTGGAAAACATAACCTCCTTGGCAGAGGTCATGAAAGAAACTATGTGCACAATGAGAATTCTATTCAGTCAAAACAATTTAAACCAAAGGCTCTGTAAGTCAGTCACCGTCATACTCCATTATCGCTTATTTTTTTTCTCCAAAGCGATCCAAAAGTGCTGTTGTTTAGCGTGACCGTAAGGTGGTAGCTAAATTCTGCTAGATGCACTTAAAAAAACTGCTAGATTTAACAAAATCTGCTAAATCACCTATCATTCCACGAAATACATTATAAGCACTTATGTAATAAAATGTCCTGAAACAAAACCAATGTCAAACAATTTGCTTTAAACAAATTAAATAATAAAAAAAAAAGCTAAGGGAACCTCCAATTGAAGCTTTTTGAAAATTAATCAGCTATATTTCCCCCGTCTGAGGGGAAAAAAATAAGACAAAAAATACGAACTTACTTGCGGGAAACGCTTCGACTTCAAATGTGGAGAATAATCGGCTGAGGACATCTAACACCAAACCATTGAAAAGAGAAGCAAGTTCACGATTCAGTCTTGCCAAATGTCACAGTCATTATACATTGTACTCCCTTTTGAGATATGGACACAATACGAAGACGCTGTGTAGAGCGAGTGAACTCTTCGGTATTTACCACAATTGTCCCGCTGCAAATAGCGTCCACCTGTTGTGTCCCTCATATGGAATCCGCTTACAAGGATTATCATACATGGGCGAACTACCCCGCCTTATATCTCCGGAAGTACAATTGGGAAATCGTAAAGACCAATCCGGGCACGCTATCAATTCTATCCCGAAGGCCCCCTTCAAGCATTGTGCTAGCTATTGTTCAGATAATCCGTCACGGGGCAGTTGCTGTGTGCAATAGCTTGCACAATGGCTTATCGATTGAAGGGGACATTGTGTGTGTGTACAGCCGGATTCGTCTTCACCTTGCCTAAATATGGTTCATTTTTTAGGACAAACCCGAATAATGTTATTCAGATCCTACATCGAACACCGAATGTCTCTTTCACATCTTAGTCCGGTCAGAGCATTCCAAACCTTGAATTTTTGTTTTTTTTACAAAAAACGCTGATTTTTTTTTTTTTCGTGTTGATGAGTTTGCTCCGGAAATACACGCTTTTATTTCATTATAAACTGACGCCTACATGGGCGAGGCTCAATTTGTAGAGAACACTATACAGCTTTGTAATGTATTAATGGCCCGACTGCCATGCTTTCTATATATCTCATTTCTTTCTCGATTAAACCACGGCAGTTTCCGGGCTTTCTCTCAAGAATCATGAATAATTTTCATTCTGGATAAACCCTGCAGACACAATCATCTCATTCTGCAATCCCTCCATGAATACATCGCAAGGCACGGTTTCACCCATAGACGCGATACATTGACTTTTTTGGTTCGAATTTTCCTTTCACAGTTGTGAAGGAGCGCAATTATATTTCAATTATGCTCATTTCAACCTTGCTCACCCCTATACCGAACTGTCCTTTAATCCTTTGACACTTCCGGCATTACACACGGGGTATCAATGTCAGATAATTTGCAAGTGTTAAAAACAGTGATGGATTTCTTCTTTAACGATTATGGACCCTTGTGTAATGGGTATGAGGTTACGAAAACCAAATCTGTTAATAAGTAATAAATAATCAGCTAAGTTGAAAATAATTATGATTCAAATATATAAAGAAGGAAGCTACAGCTCTAGAGACACATAATTTTCTGGACAGAATGGCCCATGTAATAAAATCTATATTTTAATACAATCTTTTTTAATACACCTTAATGACCCATTTATCTCTATTTTCAATTTTCATTTTGCCTCGTTGATGTTGCTGCTCATGCGAATTTCCATATTTCATGAACAAACTGTGATGTCATCTTAGGGAAAAATTTCAGTGTTACAGCTGCTGTGTCATCAAGATCAGAGGTTTCAGGATTTTGCCCAGCATGGTAAGTTCTTTGAGCTTTGATGATGCATTGTTGCATCAGTACATAATTATACAAATTAGTCTATGAACAAATTTTATGCACACATTCTTTTCAGTAACTAAAAATTCGGATTCACAATTTGAACAAAAAAAACATGTAGACTGTAGAATTTGTACCTAACATGACATCACAGCAACAACGCCTTCAGTTGTCAAAAAAATTAATGGATTATTGTTTTGAAAGAATTGTAAAATTTACTTTACGAAACATTTTAAGAAAAGGTATGTCTCAAGTTTTCATACATTTCGATGGACTGGACACTTGCACAAAATATGATCCATTGTTAAATTGATTTCTTGAAAATAAAAAAAATACCATTTAAAGAAGAAAACAGCTAGGTATTTACATGATGCCATGAGGAATTATTGCAAGTATGGTTGTATCGATCAACAATAATAGGTTTTTCTCGGTTGTTATCTTTTACGTCGAGACATAAGCGACGATACGTTTCTTTTTACTTTCTCTACACAAAGATAAACACTCTATGTATTATCTACAACGCTTTAATATTAAAATTAAAATATCTTAATTAATCATTCTACACACTTATCGGTATTTAAATGGTGCAAATGTCTTACAACAGTGCTAATTAAATTGACTATTCAGAGTTTCATATTTTAACACAGGCTGTTCTTTGGAGAGATTGCAAACGTCTCATCGCTAGAATTAACACTACAGAAGTGCGACTAACTGTCCAAAGTATTTCTAACATCGTTATTCAGTCCGTTATTAAACCACCCAAACATTGGTCAAGCGTTTTGAAACAAGTCTAGATCCAGGGCGTGACGTCAGACGATCTCGCTACCACACAACATGCCAGCTTTGTACCATTCTCTTCTGAATTTGGACTCGAGTCATATCGCACGGCGTGAACCTGTACGAAAAAGAGAGAAAACAAATAAGGATTGTTAATATCAAATTCATTGTAATTGTGAAGGGAATTTTGCTCTCTCCTGTGAAAATTCGCTACATTTACACAGGACTAAAGGAGACACTATGGTTTTTCCCCCTGAAAATTAAATGGCGATCTTGATGTTCTTTTGACAATTTGACAACGCAAAGAAGTAAAACCAGTTGTCAAAAGATACCTAGATGAGGTAAGAGCAAGGGCGGATCGGGGGGGGGGGGGGGCCAAAGGGGGCCATGGCCCCCCAAAAAACGAAACCAATTTTTTTTTTTATATGTGACATCGCAATAAAGGCAGGCAATGAGTACACCATCATCTTTTCCTCAAATAAAAATTGGTTAAAGTGGTCAGAAATTGCCTCAGATCGCACCACAGAGCATCTAGAATCCAAATATTTTTCGGGGTCCTTAAGCGGGCCCCGAACCCCACGCCGTAATTTTTTTGACCCACTTTTTTGGGGGACCAAAATTGTTTTGGGCCCCCCCAAAAATTGTTTTCTGGATCCGCCCTTGGGTAAGAGCAACCGTTACAAAATCACTAGGCATGACTACAAGCGTAATTTTTACTCCTACGATAGTTAGGGCCAATTCATGTATAATTCAGTAGTTTCGATGGGCAAATTATGTTTATTCATGAGAACAGAACAATGGCATAAACAGTATTGTTGCTCTTTAATCAATCAGTTACATTAAATCGTTTTAAAAGAACGGTTGTTCTCGAGGTACCACACAGTAGCCTAGTGGATAGCGTGATTTGCTATGTATACAAAGATCCCTGGGTCGAATCCACGTCGTCGATCGCTGCTCATTTTCATTGACTATTTTGCTTCTCCAAAATTATTGTTGAGATCATTTTATTAAAAGAGAAAAGAGAACGAAAACTTGGTGTCTTGCAATGATTCAAAGGAAAAACTGAATTATTCATGACATTGCCCTCTAACCCTCCTGCGGAAAATAAAATACGCTGACCGCAAGGCCTACACATGATATAAAAACATGTATGTCTCAAGAAGAGCGCCAATTGCAGTGGCACATTCCAAGCTTATATAATTTCCAAGGTTTGGAAGATTTCATGTTTATTTATTTATTTATTTTTGTGTTGCCCACCATCATCATTGTACAGTCGTCAATAAAAAAAAATACGACATCATGTGGCACATCGAAAGTGCCCAATATTTCGGGGGGGGGGGGGGGTGGGAGGCAATCGAGGTTAAACTTTTTGCAAACAAATCTCCTTATCTGAGATCGTAGCAATCCTTGTGTAAAAGTCAAGCCAATAGAGGGCGCCTGTTTCATCTGCAAGGAATAAATCTCACCACAACAGCTCTGCCAAGAATGGAGTGTTCACCGACGAGTCCTCCGGATTCAGCCGTCCATGCCGACCGCACGTTTCCTGTCTCGTCCCGCTGAACAGTGCCGAGAACATCAGATTTACTGAAAACAACCAATAAAATAAAGAACGTTTATCTATAGCTAGTTCACAGTAATTATGTGGCGGGAACATGTCTTTACATACACAGTTCTTAGTTAGGATGAGGGCGGGGGGTTTCAGGCCTTACTACATGTTGTCTCACAAAAGGACACCCTCTGTTAGGCCAAGAAAAACAAATTCGGTCTCTGGTCAGACCAAAGTTCCGGAATTGACGCGGGGACGCGGCTTTTTTTTTTCTTTTTCTTTTTTTCTTTTTTCTTCAAGCTTGGATTGTACAGAAAAGGTGGGGTACTAATTTGCTTTTTTGGTGTCCTCATGTACATTGGTGTCCTCCATAATTTTCCTTGGTGCTCTCGATCATTTGCCTTGGTGCAATTTCCAATTCCTTGGTGCTCTTTGGTAAAAAAAAGTTGAGGAGGTGCGGCAATAGAGGGCGCTGTTGGAGCTACCTCGGAACATTTTGGAAAAAAAGATTGATGCGCATGATTAGAATTGACGCGCGCGCTGACCAGAGACCGACTTATTTTTTTTATTTGGCCTTAGATGAAAATTACCAGAAAGGTACTGAATTTTTCAGAAAGAGGCAATGCAAGAATGACCAAAATAAGCCCCCTAAGTTTCACAAACAATATAGCGCGCTACATACCTCGTTATACCACGTGACTTTAACAATACTGCACGTATCTTGCCCCAATTTACATAACTATACGAATAGTTAGAAACACTGTTTGTTAAGTATTTAATCTATTTTGATTTTTTGGGGATGATTAAAATTTAGTATTTTGTTGGAAACTTAGGGGGCTCGTGTTTGGTCAATTTATCGAGGCCGACCGATTGACTACACTGAGTGACATGTAGAAGCTCCGGAGCTTAAAAACCGCAATAAGGAATTCCATTGTCGACACAAACAGAAGACTTTACAAGTCATGTGTCCCTAGGTCTAAACGATTAACACCTGATATTCCCCGTTCCTGAAAAACGTATGCCATATTGTTATCGAATAAGGATGATGTATTGACGCCATATCCTGGGTATAAGCATTCGAAACACCACCCTTATTGAAGCAATTGGTAAAATAAACGATTCTACAAATGTTATGTTTGCTCTATAAAATTTAAAACGTCTATAAAAGCTTGGATTCTAGTATGTCTTTATCCACAGATTGCGTTGTTGGAACGCTCGCCTGGCTAAAACTGTGGCCTATTACAATACAGACTTACGGGTCATTCTATACATTTTAGGTTGAAAGTTCCTTTGGTCCCTTTTGCATTTATATTTTGTAATTTGCCATTCAAGTATCATTAAGAAAGACTTCATTTTTTTGAGGGGGGGGGTGGGGGTTAGGGTTTGTTTGCTATTCATAAATCTACTCTAGGAGGATGACTGCATTAAGATGGTACGAGAGTAAGAACAAACATGGACCCCATAATTGAAGAATGACCTTTATACTACAATAAGGCGAGCCATCAGATAACAGACCGTTCGGGTACCGGGTCCGGTATGCTAATTTCTTTCACCCCAATCGGTACGAAGCCAGAAGCCACCCGGTCACTGAAGCGTGACGCCCCAATCGGTCCAAACTGGTGACTCAGGGTTTGACAATAGGCAACATAAATTGAAGTCTGGCCATTGTTGGAGGATTATTCGGCCCGCTGGGATTACCAGCGGCAACTTCTATGAAGCTCATCACAGTCATTATTGCCTACTGGAGGATTAGCGCGTCGCAAATTGGTTCCTTTGTGATGAGCCAGAGCCATGGTGCAGAAGCCTGGTGGAGTTAATCCAGGCCGATCGGTTCCATGCAAGGTCCCAATCCCTTCAACATACTGGGCGGGCTCAACCCCGAACGGTCTGGGGAGGGATTCTAATTTGAGGGCTCGCCTAAAGAGAACCCATACCCAATTGAAGTCGTCTGACCGACTTCGGTTGCCCAATTGGTGTACCTCATCCCAGTTGACTCGCATCCGTTGCTAAGGTCCCCGTACTCATGCACGTCAATGGCGTGTTCCATTGGTCCGTCAGTCGCCAGACCATAGAGACCAGCCTTGATTTCCATGGATCCTCCAGATTTCTGCCGTAAAACATTGGTTCAAACAGTTGAGCATGTCACATTTGAGTCCAAAATATTTCAAATAACTCATTAACATGCAAAAGTAAAGGCTGCTCTTATCAAACATGTGTGGTTTAATCAGGGTTTAACTTTAGCAGGAGCCCGCTATCCAAATGCCATTCAAAACAGAGGCAGACAATGCAAACTAGGTTACCTTCTGTTTGAAAACTATCTGGCCGGTCACGTGGTTCTTGACAGCCAATGGCGCATACGGAATGTTGTTTGCTTGGAGATCGCATCGTGCAAATTCGTAATTATCCAATGAAGGATCTGCATGCTAAAAAAAAAACCAAAGAAAACAATCAAAAGTTCACATCTTTGATGTAGATCACATACTTATAAGATTTGTTTTTCTACAATATCCTTGACGGGCAGTATGCTCGGAAGTAAGACTACTACTCATGATCATTTTGATTGTGCGGTTAATGTTCCTCGTAGTTAACCAGCGAAAGTCACAGTTTGAAAAAAAAGTCACATAATAGTTTTGTTGTAGAGTTTCCAATGTTTCTGTAAGTACTCACAGCATTGCTGTCACTGACTGCGCCCTCATTGTCGACCTCAGTTTTCATTGCAAGCTCATTCTTGTCATTGCCTTCAAAAGTGGGCTCCTCTTTCAATTGAGTTACTCCTTGATTTTCATCAACTTCATGATTTTTTGCCAGAGTTTGGCCATTAGCAACTGCCGCCTCTTCGGCATCCATATCCTTCTCCGTGGGTGTTCCAACTTGTACTCTGCTTGCATCCATCACTACACCATTCCCGTGATTTGATTCTTCTGCTTTGCTTTCTTCCGTTTCTTGAACTTTAGAAAGGTTTTCCTTCGAGGGAACCAGATCATTTGCTTTATTCTCTTTTCCAGATACAACTTCTTTCTCCTGGACATCTCCCGTCGCCTCACCCTTGTCACTGGCTTCTATTTTCTCTTCTAAATTTTTGTCAGGCGAGGGAAGGCCTCCTTCCTTATTAATCTCTTCACCAATTTTGCTAGTTTTCTCATCAACAGGCAAGACCTCGACCTCTTTAACTTTTGTTTCAACTGCACCACCTTTGCCCTCATCTAGACCTTCCCTGGTAAGTGAAGCAGAATCAACCTCAGCTGTCTCGGCGTCAGTACTATCTTTAACCACGGCGCTTAACTCATGACCTTCGATTGGTGCCTTTGCTTCGTCTTCTTGTTCAACTTGTGCATCATCCCCAGAAACTTCGACACCACTAGGATGCTGCTGCTGGTTGCTTTCCTCATTAGAATTCACTTCTTTCATAGACTCGCCAGGAGTCTTGGCTCTACTCTCAGAACTCTCTGATACCTTGACGTTCTTACTAGTGATATCGACATCAACCCCATCCTTCTCTCCTGCTGCTTTGTTATTGTTTACTACTTTAACAGTTGTTAAAGTTTCATCAGATAACTCATCGTTGACATTGTCGTGATGCACATCCGCATCTAAGACACTACCGGAAGAAGTCTGGGCGTTTGCATTTGGTACCTTCTCATCAGTGTGTTCGGTCTTGTGGGACGCGTCCAAAATAGCTTTGATTTCACCTTGATTTTCAGCAATGTCTGCTTTTGTGTTGATGTCGACTTCCTTATCGAAAGCTTTAAAGTTGTCGCCTGCATCTGCTATTTTATCGATGTCAGCAGCCGCTTGACGTTGCTTGTCATTTTTGGCTACTTCCTGGGATACTGAAGCAGCATTTGCCGCGATGTCGCTGGCAACGTCTTCTTGTATATTCTGAATGGCATCCTTACTTTTACTCTGCACTTCTTTGCCAGCAGCTGTACCCATATTGTTGTCATTTTGATCCATACTGTCTTGAGTAACGGCTGTTCTCTGAGGAATATAACCCTCAGATGTTTTCGACACCTGTGCCGGCATTTTTTCAAGGTTGAAGCTCATGGATTGACCAGCTTCTGGACCATCAGCTGCTCCCAATTCCAATTCCTTATTCATCTTCTTCAAGAACAGCATGAGCTGAGAAACGATCTCATGATCATTCACAGCACGGTCAGAGGGAATATCGAGGGGATTGCCAATATATTTTAATGGTGACGCTTTCGAGTCCTGTACTTGTTCTTCTTGATCAACTTGCTGGTCATTAGGTTTTGAGCTTTGGTCAGCTGCTTCATTGCCACTTGCTAATTTTGCATTAGTCTCTGCAACTTTCACCTCTTGTGTTAGATCTGTATCTGAGGATTCCACTTTCTGGTTTAAGTTCCCAGTGTGATAGTTTTCAAGGGAAACCGCGCCTTCGATAGTATCGGACGATCCGACTTCGCTAACAACTTGCTTCACATCTTCAGTATCTGCCTCTGATTCCGCCTTAGTGTCTGCAGTTTTCGGAGCTTGTGCCACGTCTTTGTCAGTTACATCTACATTCTGTTCTTGGCTCTGAATGGGAAGATCGGCTTGGGCAATTCCCTCTTTGAGACTCTCAGATGTCTTCTCCTTCATTTCTTCAGAGTCGGCCCTTGCAGTCTCTTTGATGCTGCCCCCTTCTCCTTTTGCCCCAACATGAGACGGTTTGTCTAATGCATCCTTCTCAGCCAACACCTGTTTTTGCTCTGGCTCTGCTGCTTGGCTGATTTTCTCTCCATCGATACCAACATGACCAATTTTCATGTCTGCTTGCTCTTTATATTCATTTTCCTCCTCAGAGATGGTATCGTCGACTTCTTGTACGTGGTTTTGAAAATTGTTCGCCAAGCTAGCCAGACTCTGACGTTGTTTAGACAACTGTGCCTTTTCCCACATCATGACCCCGTCAAGTACGTGTTCGTTCTCTAGGTTGTCGGTTTCAGCGTCGTGGTATGGAAGATCGAGTGGAGCGTTGTTAAATTCTTTTGCTGTTGCCACTGCATCCTTGTTGTCGTCGGAGCTGATATCGACATCGTTTCCTGTACTTTGTTGTCCCCTAGGATTTGTCAAATCCTCCAAGTCTTTTACAGGGTCGCCCCACTCCTTAGTTCCTTCTGGGTCTAGTTTGTGCAACTCCTTGGATAAGTTATCCTCCTCAGCCGTAGTCTTTTCAGCAGTCGACACACCCTCACCCTGCTTTTGTGCTACACCTAATTCTTCGTCTTCAGCCTCCTGTGCCTGTTTCTGCAGTTCCTCCTTTCTTGCCACCTGAGCCTTCAAGAAGTCTGCGAAGCTGCCATGATCTCTGATTGTATTTGTCTCGGAGACTTGCTCTGATTCAGGATTTGTATCTGGTGCTTTGTCAGACTCTGTAGAAATCACGTGAACGATGACTGATTTTAGATCAGTCATGGTGAAAGCTGGACCTTTCGAATCAGTTTCTGAGTCCTTTCCTTCCAGCTTCGAATTATCCTCCTGGCTACCTGTTTTCACTTGACTCCCTGCATCGGCTGTTTTCACTTCAGGTGCTGCATCTTCTGATGATTCACCAACTACATTTTCTCTAGAATTAGCCTCCAGAACAGTCGTCTCAGCAAAGTCCAGATCAGTCGTTTCCTTTCCAAGCATAGTTGACCATCCGTCATTCCTCCTTTCTCCCTCAACTTCTTTAGTCGTGATGCCATCACCTTCAATATCTTCTAATGCTTCAAGTTCGTCAACGGGATGCTCAAGATGTAGATATTTCAGAATCGCTTGGATTTCAAGATCAGTAGGCTCATCGTAAGGCTGATTGATGAATGGTGCAGAGTTGACAGCTGTCAGAAAGAAAAAAAAAAACCAAACGATCAATTTCCCAAAGTCGTAAAATCTACAGAACATATTTCGAAATTTCGCACCAAATCTTATTCTGATACGAATTCAAATAAGGCTTCTGACTAAGTAAAAACAACTAATAGTTTGACTCTGCAGTCAAATGAGTTGCGTTTTCGTTTCAACTAGGTTTAACTATTATTAAAGATCTGAGTTTAGGTCATGTAAAAGATGGAAGACTATTAATTACACTCAAGATAAAAACAAATCTGCAATTTCTAAGATTTTGTAAAACGTATACATTGAACAGGATTGAGAAACGATATCTGTTGTTTGAAAAACTTTGTCTGGGTTGCGAAGCAGGCATAGATCTCTCTCGCTCTCGCTCTCTATATTTTTTTTGTGGGGGGGTTTCAACCTCCCAGATTTGTTTCATTTTTTTAAAATAGAAATTCATTAAAAATAATGAGAACCGCCCGCTCTGACACCCCAAAAATATGTTAATTATACTATTACTTGTATCTGCTTTTGCAAAGAATTTTGTCCAGAGCCAACTGACAGGTGAATACGAGGGTATTTCTACACTATTCTGTAATATAGGGATGCAACCCTGCAAATAAATTCCCATAGACACTAGTGCTAAATGCCCATACTTCAAAATTCTTTTAAAAATACTCAGAACTCTCACAGGTATTTAAGCTGCACAGAAAAGTGATGATCGACATGTCGTCTTTCAATTTCGTTTCATTTTTTGATGGGTTGACCATTGACTTTTCGAGAAATTCTCGCCCAAAGAAGACGACCCCTATTTTCCCCAAAGTGGAACGGCAGCCATCTTGAAAAACGATCCCTCCACAACATGGCAAAATAGCGCCACTTTCAAGCCCAATTGTATCCAAAATGCTCAGAATTGGAAGCCCCGAGTCCGGGCCAGAGGTTCATTGCCATATCTCTTCAATTCCCCAATGTTATGGCTCCCAGAACTCTCTAATATAGAATATTTTGAGGGTATAACTTTTATTCATGAGCTCGGCGGACGGATTTAGGCCCATTTACCGGTGTGCACCCAAAGTGTTGATGATCGCCGGATTTGAACAGCGCCCCCATTGAAAGCATGGTATGGGTCCCCCCCCCCCTCCTCACCTATCGATTTTACCGAGGCCAAGAGTCCTGAGAAAAAAACTACATTTCACATTTGTTTTGCTGATGAACTCCCCCCCCCCCCCCCCGCACAAATTTCTGGATCCGCCCCCGCCAAACTTTGTCTTTCGGGAGTGTGAGAATAATCGAATTGGCAAGAACATTGTTTAAAGCATTAATACCCAACTGTTTCAAGAAAACAATTATAAAATAAATAATCGTATAAAAATCGATCTGATTAAGGAAAATTACTGTAGATTAGATTCGTGTTAATATGTTTGCATTTGTTTTCTCGGATCAAGCCCATTTCCCTTTAAGGACGGTTGCGGTCGGTAAGAAAGACGGTAATACACGGAAAAAACAACTAACGCTTTCCTCGTTGCTTTTTGTCTCTTCAGTGTTCCAGCACGAACATCAACATTTTGAAAACATGGCAGGGGCAATATGCGATTTAGGTGGCGCTATTCATCGTAAATGGAACTATTATGAAGTACCAACTCGCCTGTGCACGCGTACACTGAGAGCTTACAAGGACGGATCCAGAACACATGTTTTTTTTTTCTGGGGGGCCCAAAAACAAAAAATTGGATCTCCAAAAAGTGGGTAAAAAAATTACGGCAAGGGGTTCAGGGCCCGCTTAAGGGCCCCAATTTTGGTTTGATTCTATATGCTCTGTGGTGCGATCTCAACTTCTGACCACTCTAAACACATTTTTTTTAGGAAAAGATGGTGGTGTACGCAGTGCCTGCCTTGATTGCGACGTCATTTCAAAAAAATTAGGTTCTCTTTTGCGGGGCCTTGGCATCTTTGCCTAGTCTATGTATAATTTGCCGTGGTCTATTACGCGCGAACAGATTGGCTGATTAATTAGGCAAGACCCCGCCTCTTGACTTCCTAGATTTTGACCAAGCAGCGGGCACTTTCTATAGGCCTATCGGGTCTTCGGTTATTCACCCGTTGCGCGTCATAGACCTGGATACAAAAATAACTGTCAAGACGCGCGGCGCTCGGTATCATGTTTAGCCGCGAATGCGTAGTTGTTGTATTACAAAACACTGCATTTTGACCGATCACAGCCTTAGTCCTGATTTGGGAATGAAATGACGTCACGATTTAGTAAAGTCGACTCCGATTGGCTGGCGCGCGGCTTGCATAAATTTGCATGTCAGGAGACGTCAAACGTTTGACCGGAGATAGGGCTCCATGGAGAACGGGTGATACTCAGACTACCCTCCCCCCCCCTCCGATCCGCCATTGAGAGATTAAATGCACCGTACTTTTGCATTTACAGATTTGAACACTTTTGAAAATCTAACCACGTTTTCCAAACCTTCTGTTTTCTAACTCTGAAAACAAAATATTAATAAATGAAATCACTGGACATACAGAGCTTTTAAATTAAGTTTAAAAAACAACGATGTAAGCCGATGTTAGCCAAAACCCAACATGGGTAATTCTATCAATTTTGGCCCACTTTTTCCATGTCCCTGTTACATCTGACATCAATGATTTTATCATTCTGATGCACCCCTTAATGCAGTCGTCCTCCGAGAGTGGTAATAGATAGCAAACTACCTATCCAACTAATAAAACAAAATCGTTTGACGTCATTCTTAATGGTACTTGAATGGCAAATTACACAGTACCGCGGTAAGGCCACACAAAAAAATAGTCGGTCTCTGGTCAGACCGAAGTTCCGGAATTGATGCGGCGACGCGTTTTTTTTTTGTGTGTGTGTGTGACAAGGTGGGTACTATTTTGCTTTTTTTGTGTCCTCATTATACATTGGTGTCCTCCATAATTTGCCTTGGTGCCCTTTATCATTTGCCATGGTGCAATTTCCCCATTCCTTGGTGCTCCTTGGTACAAAAAATTGAGGAAGCGCGGCAATAGAGGGCGTTGATGTAGCTTCCGTGATAATTTGAAGAAAAACAAGTTGAGGCGCATGATTAAAACCGACGCGTGCGCTGACCAGAGACCGAGTATTTTTTTGGGGCCTAACAAGGACAGGAAAAATGTCACGCTTTGGACCAGAATGACCCGTATCACAAATCTGTCAATCACTGATATCGATCTGCCTAATGACGGCAAGTTAATAGCGTCAATAGTTGCAAACATCCTGTTTGTACTGATTAAATGATTGTCTGCATCGGAAGGCAAATAAAGAACACCTCCACATCCCCGTTCGCACAATGGAGGCGGGAAGTGCATATGTGCGGGTAATTTGGATATTGCTGACGTAATGCTCTACAAAACGACGAAATGATAAGGGTTCCATGCTAAAACATGAAGCTTATTCAGCTACTGCGGTCCTGTGCACAGTATATAGAAAAGCACAAGTGAAAACTGAGAAAACAAGCATTCCGGTTCCTTCCCTTTTTGAAAGGAATGTACATATTCCGAGGGTGGGGTTTTCGTAAAACCTCTGTGTTATGGTTTACAAATTTCTACCAGGCAGACAGTGAGTGTACTCGTACATTGGTGTATTCCTGTGCTGTTTGTGCTTTATTTCGGTTGAAGCAACACTATTTCATTAGGGTGTCAATCTGGTGGTCACGGCGCCGGTGGGGGGGGGGGGAAATTACCCCCCCCTTTCACTTTTGACTGGGGAATTGACCATTGGATCATCCCCCAAAGATTGTTGTGGTGAGAAATTTTCGATTTTAAGGTTATCTTTAAACTTTGCGATTGTCTAATTGTATCACGTAGTTCAGAAAATATGAGGAAAAAACCAGTACAAAACCTTTAAATGCACAATTTTGCGTTTAGATGAATGGAAGTAAGCGCACATGGTTTTATAACATTTAAATTTGTATCAAATTTGCCCCCCCCCCCTCCGCTTTTCGAATTTCCATGGCAAGGACATTTTAGGATTTTGGATCATCGCCCATCCCCCCCCCCCCCCCCCACCCGCCGACACGCGATACGAATACGCCACTGACAAATTGCTCGAAATCTTCAAAGTTTCTGCTCAGTTGACAATATACATTTGAGAAAACAGAGTAAACGTATTATTCCGTCGCTAACACAAGTACACAAATTGCATCCACGGGCACACCTTAAACCAACTCCAATGGTCGTAAGTTTCTACCGAATGATACCTTTCGGCGAAATATTTTCACAGGGAATTTGGTTCCAGTCCTGATTTTCTCGTCAAATCGCTGTGTGTGTTTTCAAGTAATTGCAAACGTTCATACGCACCGATGACATTGGTATTCTTCATCGTCTTCTCGTATGAGGTAGTTTTTTTCAGTACCTTCCATGCTACAATGCCTATACACTTTTATCGAACCTTTACAACAGATGAAGAACACAGCTTAAACAAATGCCTCCAACCGTACTCTGATGAACGCCGGTTGCGCAAATATCGATTACAGCCTAGGGACATCAGTGCATTTCTGTTAAAAATACACCTTCATGGCCTCGTGGTGTTTTTTTCATAATTATCTATTGTGCAACTTTGTCTGATCACAATATTAATTTGTGGATATTAAAGAAATCCAAATAGATCAAATTAAAGACGTCATGCCATACAACAATTATTTCATATACGGTTTCGTGGCAGATATAAAAGACCTAAACATTTCATAGTGATTTATCATCCCTTTTTGATGGAAAAAGAAAGACATATAATGACACCAATAAGTATATACAGAAGTCTCCGGAAACGGGCTTTTCCCCCAGCTATAATAGTATTTTTTTGACTGATTTTGTTTTATTTTTGGCTTAAGCAAAAACAATCTAATCTTTTTCGAGATCGAGCAGCGCAAATATATTTGTCAACAATGTTTAAATGGAAATCAATCATATTGTTTCATCTTGTGAATAAGTTTGACATTTTCGCATGGCTAGTTATTTATACTTAGTGTAAAATTACTGTACAACACATTTGAATCTTGTCCTTGTACGATGAGTACACTTTGAATTGAAGAAAATCGATAGATTTTAAGCACTAAAGAACACAACGTTCGAAAGATACACTGCCCCGGCTTTTTTTTAAACGTCTTATAAAATCAAAGAACTTAAGATTTACTCACCAACAACGACTCCGAGTAACGCAAGCACACAACTCAACCAAGACAGCGACGCCATGACTTGCAAGCACAGGTTTCCTAATCAAAGTGGTCTGAAAATCTTTGATTTTTAAAGCCTTCACCTTCCTACCAGCAAAGTTTTGTGCGGTTTCTCACGACAGTAGAACTGGATTCCTTTTTCGAAACGTTATTTCCATGCCCGCATGTTGCCATTTGTTTTGGTCATCTTTGCACATCACGTGAAGTCCTGTCATTTGACGGGTAATTTGAATATTTATTGTTGTGGGTTGTAGGCCCTAAAAGGGCTCAAGTTTTATTTGTTTAGATCGGAGTTACCCGCATATTCGTTTGATTTCGTGTCAAAGCGAATGGTAAAAGTAAGTATTTGGAAAGAGGACATGTGAACATGTTTCCCTAGAATGGTTGCTATTCACCTTTTAAAATAACATTTTGCATTAGGTGAACCAAACCGCTTCCTGTCTACACTGTTGTTGCCGTGTTAAAGGTATACAAGATCATTTGCATTTACTTTATCCCCCAAATCGTACTAGGATTAAAGATCGTACTGGTACTAAACGGGTACAGAAATTGTTCCGCCATTTAAAAAGAAATCAAGAAATGTAGGTCGTTTCCAACGGTCAGTCAATTGACTGGATTTTTTTTTTTTTTGGGGGGGGGGGGCGCAAACTGAAAACTTGATCCCCGGCAGACTTACAGCAAAGAATTGATTCAAACATAGTTCTTCAAAGGGTGGGCTATATTTCTGGTTAATATGAACTTTAGAAGGATTAGCTGATAATTAATTTACACACATCAACGACGTTTATTTCAAATGTTTGATAATTAATGCTGTGAAGATTAATTCAGTATTATTTCTCGACAGGTTTGGAAGAGATAGTAATAAAATAATTAAAATGTTATTTCGCACTACATAGTATTTCAATACCACATGCCCCATCACGTAACTGCATTTAAAATGTTGATACAATGCAGGCTCAGTTTATTGACTTGCTTTCTTTGCGAAGGTCAGAAAACGTACACAGAAGAGACTAATTATACAATTGCTAGCCGCGGATCGTTTGCATGAATAGCAAGGCAGTGTGTGTGTGTTGGTTTTCATGACAACGTGGACTGTATCCAGTGCAGGCAAGATGCTCAAACAATCGAACTCACACCAAGGTAAACGTTTGTCTCAACAAACGGATATGCTGCCATGGAAACATTTCACTCATACAAAAAACAGCTCCTTCTCAATTGTTCCCTAGATTGGGATTCTTAACGTGTGCTAATGAATGATAATAGGCCTAGCTAGTTGCGCTAAATAAACAAGAATAAGAAGGGACTGCATATGTTTGGCTGTTATGGTAACTGTTGCTAGTATAGTAGTAAGTCAAACTGAACTGGAGTTAACTTCAGACTTGACAGAGCGGATCCAGGCTGTATCGAGGTAAGACATATCTTCATTTTTTTTTTAATGTATCATCATTTCAAAATCTTAAACATAATACAAACAAAAACTCGAATACAAACCGTCGCTACAAAACTACAGTCCCGTTTAAAGATACATACTAGGACCATATTTGCATAAGATTTTTTATTATTGTTTATTTTTGTTTCAAATAACACAATTGTGCAAATTCATGGGCGTCGGGAGGATTTTTTAAGGGGGGTGGGCAAATCAAATTAACCCCAAATCAATTTTATTTTCTCTAGCATATTCTCAATTTATCATTTTTTTCAAGGAAAGGCGGGAGACATTTGCCCACCCATTTTTCATTTACACCCCCTGCAGACGCCCATGTTTTAAATGTGTATTAAATAAATAGCAAATATGACTTCACACCACTTTTTTTTCTTTTTTCTCCTCCCCCTTTTTTCCGGGGGAGTGGCTTTTCCACAGAGGGGGGGGGGGGGGGGGAGGAAACCCCCATCCCCTGGAGACGGTACAATTTTAGGCACAGTTGTTTTAGGAGGATATCTTTTTTCCCAGCCTTATCTTGACTTTTAGCAACTTTTGTTTTTCTTTATGTCAATAGACTCGTTTTCTGGTAATGAGCCCCCCCACACACACACACCACTTTTTGATTTTAAGGAGGCCAAATGTCCGGAGAAAAAAATCTGTCTTCTTTTCAGATTTTCGATGAAACACCCCCCTCCCCCGCAAACATTCCTGGATCCGCCCCTGTGCTCGATGCGCATAAATCGGCTTTAAATATACAGGGTTAAATATACAGGATTTTCTCTCAATTTCTCCAGGATTTGTCGCATTACTTTCTGGCCTTTTCAGCCACGCTGAAGCCCGGTGCACGATTCAGCACCGCGATCCCGCCCGAAATTTGGTGGATGAGTACCCTGAAGAACACAATTATATGTTTCCCCTCTAGCGGAAAGGAGCTGCCCTGCTGATTTCCCTTCGCCCTTGTGCGCACAGCTAGACTAGAGCATTTTAAGGTTCTATTCTGTGCCCCCCCTCCCCCCCCCCCAAAAAAAAAAAATTACACACTTATAGGCCAGACAGTAATGCATATCACGAGGGGCTTTTCTACGTAACAACACGAGAAATCCTGGGGAAATTTTAAAAAATGACCCAAACATTTTGGACCCCTGTACATTTTCAATATACGTTTTCGCTTCTTGCCGCCGGGTGCATGCATTGATGCGCATGCGTGGATAATGATGAATTGTAAGTAAAAAGATCCATTGTGATGCCAGAAACAGCTTCACTTATTGTCCGATATTGCCCATGACCAGCTTTCCAAAAAGATAGTAAGAATCCCCAGCCCTCCCCCCCCCCTCTTTATTTTATGGAGGCCGGGTGCCCGGAAAAAAAAAACACTGTCTACTTTTCAGTACGGATGATCAATGTGGCTTTTTTACGTCTACCCCCAAACAAAATGACCTTGCTATACACGGCCAGGAACATCATTAATACAACCATATTATGCAAACATATTATAGAAAAATATATCACCCTCCCTCCAGACTATCTGGATCCTGAATGAAACGAAAACATCATTTTGTGAAGAGGTTCTTTTCTCAAAGAATTTGAAAACGATTCCTATTTAGAATCCATTCAAATATATGACAGGCTTTTTGCGAAATTCTCAATTCTGCATTTATAGATTTTTCTTGAATTATTTTTTTAATCCAAACAGATCGTTACGGTAGAACACGCTTCCTCTAAACATCGACGGAGCAGATTCGCCAATCAGATAAAATAGCTGACTGCAACTAAAGAAAGATGAACGCAATGTTCACTGTAGCCTTAATCACACTTTGGGCTGTTACTCACGGTGAGGTTTATAATGTAACTAATTATTTCGTTTGCCAATAGCCACGGGCATTTTTAAGGACTATTAGAAATAGTGCGGGTACGGAACACGTTATGCGGTTGGAAAAAAAAAACTAGCTCGTTTTATCACAAAACCCACCTTCAGGGTGAGTAACGAAAACTGCAATAATGCCAAGAGTCAACTTCTTTTCCAAACCAAGTCGAATTTTTGAACTTTTGAAACGTTGAAAGGATGACATATTCGATAATAACTTAGTGTGAAAAAAATGAAGTTAATCACATTTACCATTTGTCTGTTGTGAACGTTTTTACTGCGGGACCCGATTTACGTTTTTGTCCACGAGGCATCGAATTTTGCGGAAGAGCACAAAATGTGTCCCCACGAGCCATTTTTTTCCCCATGAGAACTAGGGCTGAAGAATGCATTGCCTTGCAGGGTTACCAAGTAGAGGGCAGAGCTGCATGCAATTGCGTGAAGAATGAAAATAAAAAGCCTTTAGAAACTTTGCGTAAACACAACGTAAAGATTGAGCTATAGTTCGGTCAGTTTTGTGTTTTGTATAATGGCTTTATTCTACGTTTCCATCCTGTCTCATGCAGCATTCTGATACCTCGTGTAATTATGTATCCAACAACATTTTAATGGTCCCTATAATGTGTGTTACGGAAAGTTAAAGGAGCTAAGTTTACAACTAATTGCTTTGATCCCTTTTGTCTATTTCTGTTCTTTTTCCAACATGATGCCATTCATTTAAAAAAAATATAATAATCTTTATCCAGCCAGGGGTACGGTGTGGGTTGTCATTCAATTCCTATTTTTCTTTTTACAAAATTGGCCAGTAGCTTTTATTGTATTGTTGTGATGTTGTACCCTACAGATAACTTTGGTTATGTGGAGGCTGAGGCGAGGGTTTGCTATTTTGGTAACCCGATTCAGCCGGGTACGGACAACCAGAACTGGATGAAAGCAGTTTTTGAGGAAATACGGCAACGCTGCCCAAAGGGGGAGAAACACACTAAAAATGGTGAGTACTTAGGGGTCATTCAAAATCGTTAATGTTTTTAAATTTGGATTTTTTTTCCTAATTTGTTTGACCCACCCAGCCTCCCCTATATTTCGATAAAAAAATGATTTGTTCTTAACGATTAAATACATGCACATGTAGGCCTACATGCACTTGCATACAAACATATTTGTACATGTACATGTGTGTCCCTGCGCATGCATGTCCATGCACATTGTGTGCCCAGTTCAGTGACGGCTAGATGAAGCACGGATCCTAGACACCAGGAAAAACGACTCGGCCCAACTCCAGGTTAGACGCGTGATAACGGCCCGTACTGGTGGCAAATACCATAAATACTTTTCAATGCGCGAGTCTGTCAAGCCAGCGAATTATATTTTTGACTATTCATGAGTCAACGTTTTTGGTCTTTGTTATTGAATTCTGACAAGTGATAACTACATAACCATGGTAATGCCGAGCACAATATCTTTAGCTTTAAGATGAACAATGAAATGTCGCTTTTGTTTCATCGGTTCGGCATCACATCTCTCTAAAACATTTTACTAAAGCCTAATTAAAAACGAAATTTGGGTAAACGGTGTTCTCCTCGACATTTGACGTTTATTTCCCGGGTAAATACTTCATCTATGACGACAAAAAGTGCACAATATTATCTGTTATATCTTGAAGTATTTATTTTTATTTTTTTTTGGAACAATTATATCTTAAATAAGAAGTAGTTTTGCTTACAGTTTTATGAATATGTCCGTTTTAGATGTCATGCAAAAACCCAACACAATGGCACACCTGGAAAATTCGCGATTACGCGCCAACGGGTATTAATGCCCGTTATCACGCGTCTAACCAATTAAGGCAAGTCCACTGAGTGCATTTTGTACTAGAGCTCAGAACAGTCGTTTATCCTGGTGTCTAGGATCCATGGTGTGATGCAGTCCGTTGCTAAAAGAAATGGGTGTGCATCGTCAGCAGTGAAGTTTTTAGAAAGAGTTCAACATTTTGAAATAGATATTGAACTACTTAAAAGGTTTAAAAAGGGGTGACATTTTATTTGGGGGCTATGGAGATAATCTCTTACCACCCAATCTAAATATCTCCCTTAAAAACCGTTTGGGAATTCAAAATTCACATCTCAAAAAAGTATTTCCAGGCCATAATGCCAAAAGATAGTAAAACTGTGGATTTCGGACCCCGTTCCATTAGGCCAAAAAAGAAAGTCTCCTGTTTCTGGTATGAAGCTTGCCCCAAAAGTGGTGCGGCGACGCGGCTTTTTTTTTTACAGTATTTTTTCTCCAAATATCGACTGATGACTGCAAATGGTGCCCGACTAAATTGAGTGCAAATATATGGGAGTCCAAAGAGGCCAAATAAAGCTTATACTCGATCGTAACCTTATTTTAAAACACGTTAAAATTGTGCAGCAGCATTCAAGTCAAACCAGTGAGTTTGGCGGTTTTGAGACATCATATTACATTGAACAAAAAAAAAACTTGTTCATTTTGCCGACGCCCATGGTTACGGCGACGCGCGCGCATACCAGAAACCGGAGACTTTTTGGGGGTTTACGGGAACAAAAATGCGTGCTGGATCTGCCGGTACTTCGCGAGGATCTGCCATTATTTCGCATACATCCATGACGGCGGTCACTAATTATCGTCGTGGGAATGCCGCATTCATACGTGTTCATTATGAGCTATATGCATGCAGCGCTAGCGCAGCTGGCCCTACTTAATGTACATTTGACATTGTCTGTAAATGGGGACGAAGTTGGAAAAGAAATGCGAATCGGAACGCTCTTGCGTAGTACAGGCAAGTCAGAAGATCTAGTTTTGTTTTTGCTTTTTTTTTCTAAATGAAAAGTGAATTTGGATTTTCAATAATTTATCTTGACCCACCGACCCACATGTACACTGTGCGCTGAATAGGTCATTTTTGTTTTCACGAAGTAAACTCATATATTCACCAGTTCTTGTATTCAAATTTACTTAAATCGTACAAGAATATGGATAAATTATTTTCCCGTCAAACGTCAAAAAACCCTTACTTGAATTAAAGATGGTACAGGTACTAAACACCTGGTGAAATTGCTGTCGTAGTTTAGAATAAATTATCATGAATGGGTGATTCCCAACGATCAGTCAATTGACTTATTTTTGATCAAAATATTGTGCACAGTTTTCTCCAAATGTATAATATCCACTGAGCTGAAACTTTAACAGGTATCGAACATTCTTTTTCGATTTTGAGTGTTGTTGTTATTTGAGGTAAAAAAAAATGCATGAAAAGCAAATGATCTTATGCCTTTAAATGCATTTTGTTTTTTGTTTTCGCTTTATGTTTGACAAAAGTACTGTCAGTGTTCATAACTAATCCGAAATTTGTGTCCTATAACGAGCTCTAAACAATCTCATTCTATTTTTGAAAAAAAAAACACCTTTATTTGGAGGTTGATTTTGCGCCTCTAATACATGACAGATAAGCCTAAATTATTGTCGGGCAGCCAAAAAAAAAGAAAGAAAAACAATCGAAAATTGTGAAATAATTATTTTATAACCAAACATGGGCCAACTGTGTAGCTCGATGCCCCATTCAAAGCGAATAACTATTTTAATTGATAGAAACATAGCTTTTTGGGAGGGGGGGGGGTTGAAAATCACATAATAGACAGACCAGTACATTTCTGAACAACAAAGTCAGTTTTTTCACCTTTTATCGTCTTTTCACCTTTTATCAGTGGTAAAGCAGTTCTTGCACAGCTGAATTTAATTTTCCCTAAAATATTCAACATCTTTGTTTTCTACTGCTCTCGCTCTACTTTGATTTTAAAGGTGTTTTTTTTCTTTTAAAAATACGAAGTGGTTGTCCGTGAACAGGGGCGGCGGAACGCTTTTGAAACTTGGGCAACACCAAAACGGGGCACTTGCTCAAAAAAAGGAAAACAGAAAAGAAAAAAAAATAACACCTTCCGTCGGTGTGAAAGGGGATGAAAAGAATATAGTCTCGTTCATTTCGCTATAAACCTATATGACGAGGAAAAAAATATCAATACGTTGTCCATCTTGCTCTTTGTGTTTCGTTTACCTAGTTATGTAGGTTTTCCATTACAAAATAGCAGACCATTTTGGAGCGCGATCATAATGCTTTGATACGTGTGCGTTTAAGGAACAGTTTTGATGTCACCTCGAGGGGGCACATTTATAACCGCGAGAGGGGCGCTTTTGTTGCCCTGGGAAAACTTGGGGGTGGAGGGGAGGGGGGCTGCCATGAAATTTCAGATGATCTCATGGCAATTAGAATGCATTTAAAAATTAAACTTGTTATAATAAAAGCACTACAGTTGGAATTGAACAACATCATCACTTACGTTTGTTTTGTTCTAATTGTGTAGCTCAGTGTTCAGGAATCTACCCGCTCGGCATTGAAGACGGTTCTATCCCAGACGAGCGACTGACGGCGTCCAGCAGTCCGGACTACCGTCCCGCCACGCACGCACGACTGAACAACCCAGACAGTTACTGGCGACCTGATAGGTATATGAACCTATTTCGTTACTTAGACACGCCTTCCTTTGTACCTTTTTGAGAGTGACATTGCATAGTCAAGTGCAATGCGCACTATTTTTAAAAATTGATCTTTTATTTACGCCAACCGAATACCGCACCCATGTGTACGCAATATGTGGTTGTGTAAACCTACACGGTCAGACTTGTTGTCCAAAGGGGTAAAAAACACGATTTTTTTTGTTTTCTTATTATACTGTACCGTCTCAATCAAACGACAATTTCGCGATCTGATCGACTCCAGTCTACCCATCGCCATAATGCCAGTAAAACTCTTGTCGTACATGCCAACAAACGTCTTAAGTTGGCCTGTATGACTCGGACTTTGGCCATGGGACTCATGGCTCGTTAGTCCCGTATATTTGTCTACCTTTCTGAAAATATTAAACTGGGAATTCTGATATTCATTTTCCAATTGTCATGGCTAGGAATAATGTTTATTACTGAATCTCAGACCGCATCCAAGTTACTTGGCTGAGAACTGCAGTAACAAACCTCAGGCGCGGATGGGTGGGGGGGGGGAGGCAACACAGAAGCATAGTTAGCGGGAGTAAGGGGGGTATTTGCACATTATTTTGTGATGGCGTCACGGTGCTTGATCGTCGGATCTGAACAGCTTCCGCATTGGAAGATGGTACCACTCCCCGCCCCAGCCCTTTTTGATGTTACGGAGGCAAAATGTCCGGAGGAAAAATAATAAACATGTCTACTCTTCAGCACTGACTTGCTGATTAAAAAAATATCTGACAGCTAGTCCTAACCCCCATCCCCCCTGCAAATATGCCTGGATCCGCCCCTGCACCTGTCAATTTGAAGCTGCTTCAAAAGGCGCAGACAAGTAATTGGAGCACGGCCAAACTTTCAGCGTTTGTAGTCTTATGACTGGAGTACTTCTCTGAATTGTACGCAGTGACGGCCCAGATAACTGGATAGAGGTGGACTTGACAGGCACAGAAGCAGTTGTGTCGGGCATCATCACGCAGGGCTCCAACTATGAACCCGTGAAGGATGCCTACTATATGTCTCAGTATAAGGTGGCCTACCAGACCTACTCACCCCCTTCCGATGGGTATCAGTACGTGAAAGATAGCAACGGAGCCACCCAGGTATGTACGGAGCTAATCAAGAGAGGATCCGGCGAGGGTGGGGGGGGGGGGGAAGCAAGGGGGCCATCCCCCCAATAATAAAAAAAACACACACACACAAACGCACTTATTTTTTCAAGTGACGTCGCAATAAAGGCAGGCACTGCGTACACCACCATCTTGTCCTTAAAAAGAAATTGTTTAAAGTGGTCAGAAATAAGCTCGGATTGCACCACAGAGCATCCAGGCCCCCCCCCCCCAAAAAATAGACCACCCCCTCCCAAAAAAACAACAGGGGCCTTTTTGCGGGCCCCGTAACCCACGCCGTAATTTTTTGGGACCCATTTTTTGGGGACCATCATTTTTTGCCCCCCCCCCATAAAATTGTGTTCTGCATCCGCCCTTGGAGATATGCCAAAATAGGGCTTATGTAATTAAATGTTTTTATGCAATCTTCAATTGCAAAGTCTCCTTGTATTTCAGTCTGTTAATTGTAAATGTTTCCAGTTTTTGGTTTGTCTGTCTAAACGGTTGTCGGCGAATCGTTTGAGTTATGATAAATGAGCACAAGCGTGATCAAGTCTCCTGCTGAATCAAAGGTTTCCAGCATTTTGGGGTCTTGACGCAGTCGACTTACTGTTTTTTGGTGTTTCATTGTCGATTCATAATAGGGTTCAAAATTTGTATAGAAAAATCCCGTTCTGTTTGTCCCATTTGACATGACAGCAACAGCGCCCTCAGTGTTAGGAACCGCGTGGACTTTACATTTTGAGAAAAACAGTGCACTTTACAATTATGAAATCCCTAAAAGGATGTTTGATTGTTTCTATACAGTTCTAAAGAATCGATATTTGTTACCAAAAAAATGTGTGAAATCGAAGTCAAGAACCCTTCACAAAACACCGCTCAAAGATTGCCCGAATAATTTTCACCCACGTAGAACATTGATTTTCTGAAGCTAATCAAGAAAAATGATTTCTTGTTTAATATCCCGTCCACAGATATTTGAAGGTAACTCCAACGCGGCGACTCCTGTGGAAAACCGGTTTGACAGTGGGGTCCTTGTGGCAAAACTGCGCATCGTGCCAGTAACCTGGAGGGGACACGCTTGTTTGCGGTTCGAGTTACTTGGATGTCGCCTCAAGTGATTTTTCTAAAAAAAAAACCAAACAAACAAACAAACACCCCAACACCCCAACAAAACAAACAAACAAACAAACAATCGGTAGCCATTAATCTTGCAGATGAAATCGGCTTATAATAAATTTAAAAGTACTAATACGTAGTGGCGTAAATCTGTGCCGGCGAGTGGGGGGGGGGGGATGGGGGATGCCCAAAATCCTAAAATTGCCCGGTCGTGGAAATTCGAAAAGCAGGGGGCTGGGCGGGGGGGGGGGGGGGGGGGGCGGGGCTGGACAGTCACATTGCACTAGGGGCGCTCTTTGGGTGAAAATGTAAATAATATGTATACTCGCACATACATTTTTAAAGCTTTTGTACTTTGTTTCTCCACTATTTTCTGTGCTAATTCCTCAAAATCCGCATTTTCTTTCTCATTACAAAAAAAAGTGGCGGGATAATTCAATAGCCCATCCCCCTGGTCAAAAAGTGGGTGGGGGGGGGGGGGATCCGCCATTCCCTTCCGGGATTTACGCCCCTGCCAATGCATATTAAAAATAAAAGAAGATTCGTTTAAAAATTACAATAAAAACCGTGGATTGAACAATATATATACGTTAATCAAGTATTTACAAGTTAATCAAAAGTTGCTAGATACTAGATTTAATTCAAATAAAAAGTGGATAATTAACAAAAATGACTACAACGACATTAAAATGTGCATTGAATGGATTTCAATATCAATCAGTAAGTTGATGTCCATTGACAGCTGTATACATGCATATGTATACTTAAATTGTTATACATTTTGCTGATAACTTGCTTGACTGTATTGTTTTAATATGAACGTTTTAATAAGTTGTAACTATGGTATATATAAAATAATTTCCAATTTCCCCAATCCCCAAGTTTTCTACAATTTCCTCGGTTTTTCTGAAAAGCCGAGGTCTTAACTGTTTTAGCGACGCCGCTGACAAGGCACAACTAATAATCGACTTCAACAAGTCTATGCAGTGAGTGAAGGTCAAGGGTCATGTTCCATGCCTAGACTGGTACCTCGACGGTACAACGCACAACATGTTGTTGTGCGAGATTGGAAACCAAACTGCAGGATATAGGTCAACAATGCTTACCGCGAGAACGTGAAAGCAAATCATGGATTTTTCAAACACTTCGTTAGGTTTAGATATCTGGACTTTTCTGGTTATTTTCTTGGTGTTTGTAGTTGTCTCCTTGTTGATTCGTAAGCCACGTAATCTGCCTCCCGGCCCGTGGGGATGGCCATTGCTTGGGTATTTACCGCAGTTAGCAGTGAGCAGAGTGCCTACGTACGAAGCATTAAGTGAATTGGGGCTACGGTAAGACCTGGATCTAGCTAAGTTATGATAGTGGATATTTTGCCGGAGGTAATGACGGCAAACTAACGTTTACTAAAGGTTTGCCGGCGGCAATCCATATCAACAGAGGGCGCTGTACTCTTTAATATAGGGCTGAATTATAAGATGTATTAAATTCCTACCAAAAGTTGTGTAGCACGTTTGGTGTAGTGGTTAAGCAAAGGCCTCAGTGAGCGGGATGACACGGGTTCGATTCCGATCCCCGCCACGTTTTTAAGGGTTTTTTCCCATCCCCAAATAAATAAGAATATTCTTCTTTTATTATTTTAACATGTCTCAAACATTTTATTGCGAAGTATGACATTTTCTTTTTTCAGATTTGTGGCTCTGGAGGATTTTTTTTAAAGGGAAAAAAAGTCCGAAATGGTCTGAATCCCATCTTGTGAATACGAGGTTACAACGATAATATTGGCATGGAGCCAGACTAACATTTGTCAGCGGAAAATGTTAGTAAAAAAAACCAGTAACTGCGCATGTTCGGTGCATATCCGGCAAACTAACGTTTACTAAAGGTTTGCCGTCTCCGGCAAAATATCCACTGCCCTAAGTTATAGGTTTACAAGCTGCTTTTTAAATCGTTATACGTAGAATATTGGAATTTTGGTAAGTGTTTTGGTAGTTTTTTTCGTACCATGTTAGACAGTAATGTAATTTTACCATGACTGCATGTTTAGGGAAAGAAACAAAACGACAAAAAAGTTCGTGGTGTAAATAAATGTAATTAAGAAATTGCACATGTATATGCAGTGTTATCGTTTTCTCAATAAAGCTAACTTACTTTCATGTCGTTACTTGACTGTGTATACATTGTGAGTTTCCAGTGTGTTCATATTCCAGTCCCAGTTGCGTAAAGCGGGAGATGTGCTATTCTTAAGTTCCTTTTTAATAATGACAATTGATTAAGATAATTTATACTCGGTTTTCTATAGGCCTAAGTGTTCTATTAATAGTGGACCTACGTGTGCCACTAAAGCTGCAGTAAATTGGAATTCCTCTTCGCAATAAGTCTATTACATAAACATGTATATCACGCAGAGCGGGTCAGTGTTAGAGTAACAAAGAATGCACAAAAAGACAACTTAATGCCCACTCAAGCGGACAGGAAAGCTGGTATATTGCCTTTGATGGCCACACACTATTTTTGTATACGAGCGGTGAAATACAGGTACGGTAAACCCGTTTTACGCGAGGAAACTCATCGTACGCGATCAACTCGTACGCGACCAACTCGTACACAGGTCAACTCGCACGCGAGCCAACTCATACGCGAGCCCATTCGTACGCGAGCCAAATCGTAACCGTGAGTTTAGACTATAGCGTCGTACAAGTACATGTGATATACTAAAACTTTTGGTTCGGGTCGGTGGGTCGGTAAGTCTGCATACTTTTTTTTTTGCCGAAGAGGAGTATTTTGTGTTACTGAGTAAGTGTGGTCCCTATTAGTTGATTTTTAAATCAGCTTTTCATTGCTTACAACAAAACAAATATGATATTTTTCCCCGGACCTTCGCACCCTGTCAAAGCCCACATCGTGCGATATACGAAAACACAATGCCACCCGTATTGAAATGGTAAGTCTGCTACATTTTTAGACTTCAACAATACTCTCGCGTACGAGTTGACCTGTTTTCGCGTAAGAGTTGACCTGTTTCCGAGCTGTGCATAAGCAAGGGCGTCACATTTTCGAAAGCTGTTGTAAAGGAAATGTTCTTTAAAGTTTCAGAGGTGAATTCAATGCACATTCCTATTTTCCCATATCGTTTCCGTTTCGAACACCAATCAGATACGGACCCGTGTGCAGCTTCTATCTGACAAACCAACTAGTTGTCGTCTTGCAAGACTTCGACGTCATCAAGAAGGCGTTGGCTCTGCATCAGTTAAGCGGTCGTCCTACTTTTGAGATCTGTCAGAAAAGCCTGCCTGGACATGGTAAGTTAAGGTTACCCCCATCCCACATTCCCCCTCTCCATACCTTACCCCCTCTCCCTCCTAAAAAAAAAAAAGGGGCGCAGAAAAATGAAGGACTTCAGCCATTAAATTCTTAAATAACTCACAAAGGGACACTGAGTAGGTTTATTATTTATAAGTCTTTCAAAGTTGAACAAGGAAATTGACTTGAGTAGGGTTTGAACCGGCGATTTTCGGATTGCCGTCGCGGTGCGCTACATGCGCTATCCGGCCATGTTGGCATTTCCCTAATTTTGTTCAATGTATTTGTTTAACGGGCGCTTAACAGAAGCCATAAACCATGGGGATCACGCCCAAAGTCGCGATGCTATGCTAGCAACATTATGTCTTGGGCAAAGAAGCTAGTGACTGTTAGTGGACGGTTCATAATAGTGCACCCTCTAACGGCACAACCGTTAGACCTAGAGGTTGACTCGCACTTGTCTTGCCCGTTTCGTTTCAGCGGTTTAGGCCAAAAAAACAAATCTCCGGTTTCTGGTATGCGCGGGCGTCGCCGTAGCCATGCGCGTCGGCAAAATGAAAAAGGTTTTTTTTTCAATAAAAGATGATGTCTCAAAACCGCCAAACTCACTGGTTTGACTGGAATCCTGCTGCTGCACAATTTTAACGTGTTTTTAGATGGGGTTATGATCGAGAATATGCTTTATGTGGCCTCTCTGGACTCCCATATATTTGCACTAAGTTTAGTCGGGCACCATTGGCACTCATCAGCCGACATTTGAAGCAAAAAACAGGTAAAAAAAAAAAAAAAGCCGCGTCGCCGCACCACTTTTTTATCTTTGTTTTTCTATTCTCCCTAGGCTTTCCTGGGGTGCAAACCGGTAAATAAACTTCCAAAGACCCCAATGATAATTACTCACTAAAAACATTCACTACTCTCCAAAGTGTTCGAGACACACATTTTTTATAATCTTTCATTTTCTTTTGAATTTTTTTGGTTCAACTGATGACTTTTAGGAGAAATTTCCATCCGAAGATGGTCACCCCTTAAAATGGTCCTGAAGGCCATCGCCATTTTGAAAAAACGATGACTGCACTCCATTGCAAAATACAAGCTCACAGTCCTGTGCACGGCTTACACCCATATCTTTCACAAACTCTCAAAGTCATGGCCCACAGTATAATTATGCTCAATAAAAGAAAATATTGAGGTCATACAAATCAAAATTCGGCCGGCGTAGGCAATTTTGGGCCGATTAACTGGCCTGCACCCTATAAAGAAGCGAGGTTTTGAAATATTCCCCATAACTATACTTGTACGGCATGAGGAAGGATGGATAACTCATATTGCATCAAAAAATTGGTAGAACAAAATCTCCGACTTCGAAATCTGGCCGCAAAGCAAGCCCTCTCTTTGCGGCTGCTTTGTTGCTGTATGGCGCCCCCAACGGGAGTTAATTGAATTCCAGCTCCTTCCAACCCCCAAATCACCCCCTCGCTCGAAGTTTCTGTAATCGGATGACTTCAGATTTAGGAGTATTTACTGCAGAACCACCATTTGTGACCCCTTGTGAAACGCTGAACCCCCCCCCCCCCCAGGTCAAGCCCCCTGAAAAAACAAAAACAAAAAAAACACCACTGTCGTGGAATATAAAGCACATGCGCACCGCTATTTTGACAACGAACGATGGACGAATGAAACTAAAGGTTTCAAAAAATTTCCGCGGGACATTTGCCGTTGTCCCCCCTTGCCCTTTTCTTTTCTCTCACAATAACCAATATATTGGATTTTTTATAAGGCGGCAGAACGCTACGCCCAATCGTAATTAGCTCAAGTTGTCCACTGACACTCATATTTTGTCATATTTTGTTGACCTTAAACTTGAAAAATTGACTCTCCATGGCAAACTCTTGTTGGCGAACTGCATTTTGAACGCCCGTGTTAGCGATCTTGAAAAGGTTGAATGGCACGCCTATAAACGGTTGTAAACAGACGCGCTATATACGTGCGTTGATCAAACATTAAGGAACAGTGTTTGTTTAAATTTATACAATTACATACGGTCTTTTTTACATGAAATGGCCCCGCCCCATTGCCATGATATGACCAAGACGTAATTGAGAGACGTTAAAAGAAAATGCAAGGGCGATACACAACAATGCAAATAGCGCCATATGAACAAAAACAACGAAACACATACATGAAATGTGTATCTTTTTGGAGACATTTCTTTGTTCTTGTGTACTAAAGTTTTCGAGTTTGAAAGTACAGTCTCAAACTGCTCTTATTCTAACCAGAATTAATTTCCTTGGCTGACATTTGGACTTAATATCCCTTTTCTAAAACTCTACCATTTGTGATGGATAACTATACCTTGGATATTCCTGGTTTTTGAGTAAAATCCTGATATCTATTCCGTGAAAACCTTGTTGAGACGTGTTTATCTATAGAAAATTGCCCTGTGGAGACGTATACAATTTTTTGTTCCTATTATGTGCATGTCTCCAGGAGCACGGTGTGTCAGGTCACTGTATTATCTACTTGGAATTAAATACAAACCACTCCGAGGATATGTTCTATTGTGTTTCTTTGCAAGGTGTGGTGAGTGCCTCCGGGAAGGAATGGGAAGAATTACGGCGGTTTTCAGTGACCACTCTCCGCTCCTTGGGGATGGCGAAGTCCAGCTACGAGAAGCAAATCTCGACTGAGGCACAATGCCTCATGGAGGAGATACGAAAAATAGGAGGACGGAAGTTTGACCTTCGCTGCGCTATGGAGAGTGCCACGGCCAACGTGGTTTGTTCAGTTCTCTTCGGGAAGAGATTCGAGTACACCGACGAGAGATTCATCGAGCTTCTCCAAATATCCGATGATATCATCGAAATTGCAGGTGCAGGAGGGGTTCTGGAATTTATCCCGATGTTCTCCAAGTTGACATTCCTTCCCATTGTCAAGAGACAGATTGAAGTCAACAATCGATTGATGGCTTTCATCAAGGACATCTTGGAAGATCACGACACGGGTTACGAGCCCGGGAGCTCGCGGGATTACATCGACGCATTTTACAACGAAATGAGACAGAAGGAAAGCCAGGGCCTTCCAACCTACCTGAACACAAACAGTTTGTATTACACCATCGCAGGACTCTTCTCGGCCGGGGCAGGGACCTCGGCCAGCACACTTCGCTGGGCCATCCTCTACATGGTAGCCTACACTGAGATCCAGAAGAGGGTCCAAGATGAGCTAGAAAACATCGTGGGTCGTGACAGACTACCCCAACTCTCTGATAAACCAAAATTACCGTACACCCAGGCAGTGCTCAGTGAGATCCAGCGAGTTGGATGTATTGCTCCACTCAGCATACCGCACCGCTGCTTGGAAGATACAGCAGTATCAGGGTAATACAGGTTTTCCCGTCCAATTTCGCACTTAGTGCATGCAAGAGTATAAATAGTTCATTCAATTTTGCTATAGGGCAACCAAAAATTCAAAATAGTCATTCAAAATTGCCATAGGGCAGTCAAAAAAGAAAAACAGTCATTCAGAATCACCATACGGCAGCCAAAAATTCATAATGGGCATTCAGATTCGCCATAGAGCAATCAAAAGTGTAAAAACAGCATTCAGATTCGCCATAGTGCATTCAAGTTAGCACGGAAGGACACGTGACTAAAGATAGAGCATTCAATTTCGCTATAGGGTATTCATGTTCATAACTAGTGCATTCAATTTAGCACTGTATTTACATGACTTGTATACAGTAATACATATTCAAATATTCTTTGCGCGTATTTCCCAACCTGCAATATGTGTGCCACCAATGACCATTCATAAAACTTCACTGGACAATTTACATTATTTTTTACAGATGCCTGGGCTTCGATAGTTGTATTTGTTTTGTCTCCTAGAGGTGAAATGTAAATTATAGAAGCATTGACCTGCTTATTGAGCAAGTTATTTTGTTCCTCACCAGCGCCTTGGCGCAAATTGTATATATATTTCTTTCATCTCCTTTGGTAATGCATTCTTTGCATTTCACCTTTTGCTTTCCACATATAATTATCAGCAGCTTGAGAATTTACATTGGCAGACATTACGCAATTAACATCAATGGCTGAAAAAAATGACTGAGTTTTGAGCTTTGAACTTTAACATGTAAATTTCCTACCAAAGATCAGTAAATATAACCATCTGCAGTTGCGATATCATATTTCGTATATACATTTAGTTATAATTATGTTTTAAAAAGATTATAAAACGTTCAACAAAGAATTATTATAAGGGAAGAAAACCGTAATAAATGTCTTAAGTTGTGATGAAAGATTGTTTTAAATGATTAAAGTCATATGAAAACAGATACAAGATAAAAAACACAAAAAGTACATATGCAATATGAAATAAGAAAATCATGATATTGTATACATGCTATCATTTATGTCTCTAGTCAATGCATGAGATGGTGCAAATGACCACAAGAAAATATACATTAAGAAGGAACATTTACAAAGATTAAACCAAAAACATATGAATTAACAGAGGGAAATGTAATGACATTTTCCCTCTGTTGATTCATATGCCTTTGGGCCATCCGATAAATATGATTTGTATTAGGCGACTTTATACAGACAAAGCAAGCTCATAAAGTGGAAGAAGACATAAACTTGAGAAAGCTATAAAAAAAAAAAATAGAAAAAAAAAATTACATGTGCTAAATTGGATGCACAAATTGTATAATTGGAGCCCTATGGCGAAATAGAATGCTCCAACTTAGCTCGAAGGGGTTTCAAGGGCGAACTTGGTTGCACTATGTACGAATTCGTATACCGATTGGCGAATTTGGTTGCCCTAACGCGATTATGAATGCCAATTAACCATTTTGGCTGCACTGTAGCGAATTTGAATGCCGATTGGCCATTTCGGCTGCCCCATAGCGAATTTGAATGCCGATTGGTGATTTTGGCTGCCCTATCCGCGAAATTAAATGACCTATTTATACTTTCTCATGCACTATGTGCGAAATTGAATGACCTATCTTTACTTTTGCATGCACTAAATGCGAAATTGGACGGGAAAACCTATAGTAGCATTGGCCTGCTTATTGAGCAAGTTATTTTGTTCCTCACCAGCGCCTTGGCGCAAATTGTATATATATATATATTTCTTTCATCTCCTTTGGTAATGCATTCTTTGCATTTCACCTTTTGCTTTCTACATATAATCATCAGCAGCTTTAGAATTTACATTGGCAGACATTACGCAATTAACATCAATGGCTGAAAAAATGACTCAGTTTTGAGCTTTGAACTTTACATGTAAATTTCTTACTAAAGATCAGTAAAATATAACCATCTGCAGTTGCGATATCATATTAAGTATATACATTTAGTTATAATTATGTTTTAAAAAGAATATAAAAGGTTCAACAAAGAATTATTATATGGGAAGAAAACCGTTATCAATGTCTCAAGTTGTGATGAAAAGATTGTTTTGAATGATTAAAGTCATATGAAAACAGATATAAGATAAAAAACACAAAAAGTAAATATATATATATACAATATGAAAGAAGAAAATCATGATATTGTATACATGCTATGATTTATGTCTCTAGTCAATGCATATAATTGAAGAGATGGTGCAAATGACCACAAGAAAATATACATTATGAAAGAAAATTTACAAAGATAAAAAAAGGCATATGAATTAACAGAGGGAAATGTAAGGACATTTTCCCTCTGTTAATTCATATGCCTTTGGGCCATCCGATAAATATGAGTTTTATTCGGCGACTTAATATAGACAAAGCAAGCTCATAAAGTGGAAGAAGATATAAACATGAGAAAGCTGTAAAAAAACAAATAGAAACAAAATTACATGTGCTAAATTGGATGCACTTATTGTATAATTGGATGCCCTATGGCGAAATGGAATGCTCTAACTTAGCTCGAGGGGGTTTCAAGGGCGAACTTGGTTGCACTATGTACGAATTCGTATGCCGATTAGCAATTTTGGCTGCACTATAGCGAATTTGAATGCCGATTGGTGATTTTGGCTGCCCTATCCGCGAAATTGAATGAACTATTTATACTTTCCCATGCACTATGTGCGAAATTGAATGACCTATCTTTACTTTTGCATGCACTGAGTGCGAAATTGGACGGGAAAACCTAAAATATGAATGAGGTGCTAATTATACAGGGCTTTATACCGACGCCCCAATTTATTAAGCACTTCACAGTTATTACGCCTATTCACAGGCAAGGAGATCAATTTCTTGATGCTGTAAAGCCCGCCGCACACGGGAGCTACGTGCTGAGTTAAAAAGTCAGTCGAGACCGTTTGCTCACCACGTAGCTCAGAAAATATCACCGTGTTCGTACAGTTTCGCTACCAGCTGGCCTTTTGTCTGATATGCCTCACCAGGCTGTGAGGCAAATATCAAACGGAATAAATCAAACAGGCGAGATATTGCCTCACGGCCTTGCGAGGCAGAAAACTCAGCACAAATTTACCGCAAAAGGCAATATTTTCTGAGCTACGTGCTACTCAAACAACCTCGAATGACCTTTTGCCCAGTACGTGTAACTCATGTGCGGCAAAATCTTATCTCCTCATGAATGGAGATGGGAAATTGTATTAACCCTGCGCAGCAATACAAATAAAAGCCACGTGCCAGACAGTTGCCAGACTGCACTGGAAAGATAATTGACTGGCGGCTGTGGTATGCAGTTATGAAGGGAGATGACTGTGTCAAGTTACAGTCTTTGTTGATGTTTCAATGAGACTTGGCAGGAGGTCTGGTCGAAAGTTTCTTGACACGGCCTGGGTGTAGCCCTGGCTGCAAAGTTCATTGAACCAGCTGATTTGGCAAGGGTTGAATGAGTATTAGATAGGAGGTGAATGTTATTGGCCCTATTTTTTTTTATTCAAAAAATTGGGTTTGTTGATGCCCCAGGGGCATCAGGTTACTCCGCCCAAGGTTGTTAAAGTGTCTTGCTGAAGAACACAAGCATCATGTTCTCCGTCAGGGTTCGAGCACACGCACCATCACAAATGATATGAACACAGTAACCACAACAAGAAATAAATGTACAATATATATACGTTACAATAACGAAAACGATCCTTGATGCATCATTTTAAGAGTGTTACAACTGACAATGTAGTAACCGACGGATAATGTCACCCAAATTGACCAATATTGTATCACTTACCGATAATGTCACAACAATGGATTGATAGTGTAGTCAATGTAACTTCACTCTCTGTCAATTTTTGTTAATAGTGATACATTATCGGTAAAATTTAGTGATATTATCGGTTGGTGAAACGTTGTCCGTTGGTTACTGCATTATCAGTTGTAACATGAGTTCACACTTTCAAATAAAGATATTTTCCGTTATTAATGGTTTATCAGGTACCACATACCCAAGGGGGCTCTCATAGTACCCAACCTATGGCAAGTATGCTACGATGATACTGAATGGACCAATCCCAGAGAGTTCAAGCCGGAGCGATTCCTTGACGAGGAAGGCAACTTCCGAGCCAGGGATCACTTTGTTCCTTTTGGAATCGGTAAGTATGTTCATCAGTGACAAAACAATGAAGTAGTGAAGACATTGATGAAGTTATACATTGATGACGTTACGTGATTGAATGATGAGTCAGTGAAGTAGAAAAACCGTTGAGACATTTCAGAGATTGTAGAAAATATACATATGAAAGCTATCGGGAGCTGGATAAACATGTACACAATGTACGCAGACAATTAATTAAGGACTCGGGCAAGAATTTATAGGAGCACAAAATGGAACAGGAAACTATTGACACGATTCATTGTCTTACTAAACTGGTAAACTTAGTTTCCATACAGGCGTACCTAGTGCTTTAATCATCAAACAGTTTAATGCACAGTGTACGTGCACTCCTTTAAGTCTGAATATTGCAAGGCAGTTATTATTGCAATTCGAAAAAACGAAACGAAATAATTGAATCCATTTTTCTCACCATAAGTGTTCTCTTTTTGTTTTAATAATAAACTGAAAATACGTAGGTCGTCGGGTTTGCCTGGGCGAAAACCTTGCCAAGATGGAACTCTTCATCTTCTTCACGTTTCTCCTGCATCAGTTCACCTTTGAATCGCCTGAGGGCGCTACAGGGGTATCCTTCGAGCCCAAGGGGGGAATAACGTTGGGCCCCGTCCCCTACAAAATTCGCGCCATCCCACGTGCGTAATGAGAATATAAAGCCAAAAATAGACAGCTGCCAATTACACATCATAATGCACCGTGTTGATCGTGTAGTTGTCAACATTTCTAAAGATACATCTACCTCTTATAAAAACACAGGGAAATGTTATACACATACGACAGCTCTATGTCTCAAAAATATGAAGCAGTCAAAACAAGTCCGAGGACAATCAATCGGTTTCTTTTAACCTGTTCACCAGTGGAACCATTGGCTAAAGAATATTCCTCATAGACAATTATTTCAGAACATTAGCTTTGTAAGGAGCAATTCTGTGACGTAAGTACCATTAAGCCTTACTGTAGTAACTGTAATGTCCATTTTTTTTCATAAGCATAACAACAGTCAAGATTGAAACGTGAATGTAAAGTCGATAAAACGAAATTGCACTTGTTTGGATTGTGCAGCAGCACAGCTTAGATATAATCTGAAAAGTAGCCAAATTTGGAATTCAAGTCCTTTCATTTAATTAGCTGTATCTCCGGACCTTGGTGTCCAAATGCGATGGGATAAAGACCAGGGTCTTTATGGTCTTTAGTGTAGGGTCTTCACTACACCCTCAGACAATGGAGGACGAAAAATGGCCATCTGCTTTTTTGCTATCAGAAATGCAGAAAGCAGATTGTACGTTTTTGTACAATGAACTTTTCGACTTTTCTAATTTTCTGCTACCTGAAATTAAAGCAGGAGTTTCAATTTGCTTGCTAATTTTCCCCGGCATATTTTTTATAAAGTTTCTGGTTTGCTTGAGACAATAGTAGTGATACCAAAAGCTCATTATCAAATTACGATTAAGTTTCCTCGTTCATACACTAGTCATAGTCACATGTTGAAAGATTTGTTTTTGGAAAAGCATTAGATAGCTACAAAGTCGTCACGTGAACTCATAGTTCGGTCATTGCCCTCCAGCACAAAACCTAGTCTATGGAATATCCCCTTGCACAGCAAGCGTCTATGATATGCGAGCAGATTCGGTGATTAATTATGCAAAACAAGACTGCGCCTCGACCTCGAGATTCTGACCATTCAGCGGGCGCCTCTTTTCAAAACCACAGGGAAATGTTATACACATACGATAGCTCTATGTCTCAAAAATATGAAGCAGTCAAAACAAGTCTGAGGACAATAAATAGGTTTCTTTTAACCTGTTCACCTGTGGAACCATGGGTTGAAAAATATTCCTCATAGACAATTATTTCAGAACATTAGCTTTGTAAGGAGCAATTATGTGACATAAGTACCATTATGTCTTACTGTATTAACTGCAATGTCAATTTTTTTCATAAGCATAACAACAGTCAAGTTTGTAACGTGAATGTAAGTCGATAAAACGAAATTGCACTTGTTTGGTTTGTGCAGCTGCACAGCTTAGATATAATCTGAAAAGTAGCCAAATTTGGAATTCAAGTCCTTTCATTTAACTAGCTGTATCTCCGGACCTTGGTGTTAAAATGCGATGGGATAAAGACCATTGTGTAGGGTCTTCACTACACCTTCAGACAATGGAGGACGAAAAATGGCCATCTGCTTTTCTGTTATCAGAAATGCAGAAAGCAGATTGTACGTTTTTTTACAATGAATTTTTCTACTTTTCTACTTCTCTGCTACCTGAAATTAAAGCAGATTGAACGTTTTGTAAAATTTTTACTTGTCTGCTTTTCTGTTACCTGAAAAGCAGATTTTTTCCCTTGTTCCTGGCGGACAAAAAGTGGCCATACTTCAGACTCCACAGAGTGTCAGTATACATTTAAAATGTTACGTCCACTGCAATTCCTTAGTTTTACCTACCAAAAAAAATAGCTTAAAGAGCCACTGTAATAAAACATTTTTCCCGCAATCCTTTTAATAGACCTTTTTGTCAAATTTATCTGTATTTGACAATCTTTATATGGCCATTTTCAAGGGTGTTTGGTGCCTCTGTGGTTTAGCTTCTCGTGCGAATTTCCATATTTATGAGTGATGCTGTGATGTCATTTCAGGCAGAAATTTCAGTGTTACAGCTGCTCTATGATCCAGCATCAAACGTTTCCAAGCGTTTTGATGGCTTGCCGTGATATTTTCTTTGGCTTTGGTGATACATTATTTTATTAGTGCATGAAAGTAAAATTTTGAAGAGTGTATGCCTAAAGCGACTTCACAGCAACAGCGCTTGCAGTTGTCGAAAAGCAGGGATTATAAAATGATGAAAAGAAACCACCAAAAAAATCGTCCTAGATGCGTCTTTTTTTTCTGAAATATAGGTTTTCCCTGCCAATTTCGCCAAAATAGCATTCGAATTCATCTTGATAGTGGTCAATTTGAAGCGACGTGGCGTCCTGCTGTCATTCCCGTGGTTTGTATTAGATTGCAGGCGTTCAAATTCGTTTTAAGACCTGACACATCCTCAATTGAAGTTATGTCATTCGGTTTAAGTGATCATTCAAGTTAGCAGGTTTAGGGTTACGTGTATATTTGCATCAGATTCTTATTTACGTTTTCATTTCCGCGCATTCTATTTAGCAATTTTGGCATTTAAAATAAAAGTAAACGAAAGTAGACGATGCGAGTCTTTTAATTTCTTTCACCCTTTCAATTTTTTTTCTGCTTCAAGTCGTGGTCCATTTTTGTTTTTCTGGCCCTCCTCTTGGCAGGTTTTTCTGTCTGCCAGATCTGAGATACGTTGCTACGATTGACCTGTCAGTAGATCTGTTTATGGCAAGCTTGTCTGCAAGTTCAAGATAGTCTTGGGCATTGCCATCGAAAGCTTCGATCAAACGACCAGACCACGGTCTACATTTGAATTCTCATGTAATGACAATTAGCCGGCGTATTGATATTTCTAGTGCTTCAATCTAACAGTTTACATGGCGATCAGAGTAGTCGCAGTCTTGTTGGAGGTTTTTATATCTATATGTCTAAACATGGGCGTCCCCATGATTTTTTTCTAGAGGCGGGCAAAACATATCCCCCCCCCCAAAAAAAAGGCCTGAATTTCCCATCATATTCTCGATTTATCAGTTTTAGAGGGGGCACGGACATCCCCCCAACCCATTAAATTTACAGCAATATAAATTCGCGCCTCTTTTTCTATTCCTTTTTCCCCCTCTTTTTTTTTGGGGGGGGGGGGAAGAAAGCGCCCCCTGCCCCCCCCCCCCCCCCGTGACGCCCATGTTTCCAAATTGGAACAAAAGCACTCCATCTTATTCTAACAAACAACGGAACGACATGGACCTATTTCGAATTACTTTGCTTACTTTACACACATGCTTGCTTAATGGTGAATTCGAATGACCAAACTTACACAGCTGGAAGCTCCGGCGAATTCGGATGCTCGTTTGTGCAATTTTAATTTTGAATGCCCTACTGTTGAAATTGCATGATTTAAATGTGAAATCGCATGCTTTTAATATCAAATTGATTTGTGTTTTTAGGTAATTGAATGTTGATCTCAACGTGCATTACAATTCGTGCGAAAATGGGTGCTTGGTCACCAATTAGGCCGCCAAATCTGCTAACTTGGCCGGGAAAACCCATAATTAGACCAGAGGAGGAATAATGTAAATAAATTGGTGTAAATTTCAAATTTTTTAATTATCAATATGATTAAAGAGATAAGAAAGAGGAATTAAAGGGAAAGAGCGTCCCCTAGCGTCCCGTGATGTTCGCACTCCGCTTTGCCACCGCTTTTTATTGCGGATTCGCCTTAGTATCCCCTTGAAAGCGACCAGAGGTATGCCGGCGCATTGGAGGCCACTGTTTTGGCACAGTTCATCTCACGGAATACAGTGAATACTGTCGTGGCCATACCAAAACCGGCTTCAACGGAAGACGCTGGGGACAAATGAGAATATCCGGTGGTATGAGCACATTTCCATTTCGGTACTTCAAGATCGGACCCGTCTACCATCACCGGCTTCTGGATCCTGCCTCGCTACGCAGCTAGCGACAAGTCCGTTGGCTTGACCACATCCTCCGCCTACCACAGCAACGTCCTATCCGTGCAATAATCCAGGACATTGCTCTTAAAACTGCTGGCTGTGACATTGGGGAGCTCCTCGCACTCGGTGGCTTGACATCCTCGACCGCGTATCTGCAGCTGATCGACTCCTCGCTGGTGGAAGCTAGCCACCTCGCCGCTGAGCTTCGGCGCTTAGACCGGTGATTCTTGAGCTGCCTTCGCTGGTGGAATCGCTCCAACCTCTATCTGCGCCGTCTGCTGCGGTCGGCGGCATCGGCGGCACTGTCGAAGGAGCTTTGCTAGCGGGGAAAAAGCCTCTAAGAAAGCCGCTCGATACTGACTGTTAGTCACGCTGTACACCAGAGTATTGATGGAGCTGTTTATGAAGCGTAAGAATCCTACGCAGACCTCCACGTCGAGACCGGTCCAGTACATTTCGGCAACCCCTTCTACAGAGAGAGTGGAGAACAGGACTACAATGTTAATGACAGTGTAAACGATTTCCATAGAATTGAGAACGAAGAAGACAGCTGTGTTGATGACCAGCATGCGTACGATGGAGTAAACTCGACGGGTTTGGCCTGCTTGACGCTCTCGGTCAATTTGGCATAACTTAATAACGATGAAAACATACGAGGAAACGGTTACGATAAACGTTGCCAGGTAAATCAGGAGAAGGATGATCATAAACACTTGAATGAAAACCAAATTCGTAATTATATCAGATGTGAGTCCAGCCAAAACGCCAGTGACAACTGCTAGTACCCAGACGCCTGCTGAAATCTTGGCTGCTCGTGACTTGCTCGCTTGAGCTCTGTGGGTTAGCGGTTGGCGTACGGCGGACAATCTTTCAACCGCTATGACAGTCACGAAGCAGTACGAAGCAATCTGCATCGTTGTAGATGCTATATATAAGGCTAGGTAAGCACCTGAATCAATGTGTGTAGCTCCTGTGACCCATGTCGTCGACGCTGCTATTATCAGAAAGGCAGCGTCAGCCACTGCTAAACTCGACAGATAGACGTTGATGATCGTGCGCATGGACTTCACTCGAATTACTACGATGAGAAAAATAGAATTCAGCAGAATTCCGATGGGGGCAATGATTTCTGCAAACGGACGGATGATAACTTCGTAGTCTTGCGCATGAGCGTCGGCATCACGGAAAAGCTGCCTCTCACGGGCTGTCAGTCCGTCGCTTTGTTTTATTGTTCCATTCATCTTTCTTATATAATGACGTCTTGAACAGCTTGGTTAACGCAAGAAGAGTCTCCACATCTTTGAATAGCCAGATCATAAAATGGTCTTGGGCATGCACTAAAATCAACTCACAGGCAAACATTTCGCCTAAGCAGTTGATTGGTATTTTTTGTTATCCAACAGCGGGTTACCGGAGATCTGATAGAAGGCGCCGGCTGATTTATCAGAATCAGAATGTTGAGTTCGAGACGCAGTCTTGTTTTGGATAATTAATTGCCAAATCTGCACCAGTGAGCAGTAATTAGTTCACGTGATGGCTTTGTAGCTATATAATACCTTCCCGAGAATATATCCCTCAACATGTGACTGTGAACAAAGTACAAACGAGGAAACACAATCGTGTTTTGATACTGAACTATTGGTTTCACTACTATTGTCTCAAGCAAACAAGAAGCTGTATAAGAATATGCTGGGTGAAAAAGAGAGCAAGGACATTGAAACCTCTGACGTTTAGGAAATTAAATGGATTCCAAAAAGTTGGATCAAGGACGATGTTTAAATTGGCTGCAGGCAATACATTATTAAAATCAAGTTTAATTAAGAGCCAAAATTGAATTTTATGACTTCGCACCCCAAACTTATATCAAGGTGTTTGTAAAGGGGGACAGAACAAAATTAGGATGGGTCATTTGTCTTTATTGGCTTAGTTCTATAGAACTTGTTACCTGTGCCGTCATACCAACGGGCAACCGACATGCAACCCAAACATTTAAGCATCTTTTGCATGTTATTTTGCCCACATTAAACAGTTGACGTCACCACTTTTACACCAATCACATTTCAAGGGATACACATGCAGTGCTGAAGAGATCAGTTTGCTGACAGTTGACATCACATGACCACAACATCCAATTTGTAAATAAATGTAACATATTCAATACAGCACACACTCGGGAGTTTAGATTATTCATAGAAATGTGTGCATAACCCTGGCCAAACTTTGGGGGAGGATGGGGTGGGATTGGCTCGGCTGGAGTGTGATGGAGCAGCGTGGGGGATGCAGTACGTAATTCGGTTCAAACCACATAACAAATATTGCAAGATTGCTCGGTCCCAAGATGATTTATAATCTGGCTATAAATGTAGATAGATTTTGAATTTTGAATCAAAATGATGTAGCACAAAATGATATTCAAATAGCTTGTTCCCACGTGTTGCATCTCTTTGGAATTCCTTGCCTGGTGCTTGTTTTCCTTCAACCTATGATCTGTCCTGTTTCAAGAGAAATGTCAATTCCTAACTTCAGTTTTCGTGAGTATCTACTCTTCTTTTTATTTTTCTCTTGTAGCCCTGGCCTGAACCCGGCTATAAGTCTTGTTCAGGGAAACTATGCGTAAGAATCCCGAATCATAGTTAAATTGCAATAGTTTATGGGTGATTTAGATCAAAGGATTTAATTTCGGCTGACTAATGTGAGGATTTTGTGAGGTCTTGACTTAACCCTAAAGGGGCCGGGTTATTTTGACCATCTCTCAGCCGGGGGGGGGGGGGCGGATTCCGCCCCCCCCCTAAGATCTCGGCCATCGAGTGACGAAAAATTTCGAAACTCAGCACATGCATATAGCAACTCTTCCTAAACATGCCCAAGAAATTTCATGACTATAGGTCAAAGGGTTTTGGAATTATGGCAAATTAATTATTCATATGTATGAATGGCAATTCTGCTCGGTGTACACGACGTATATGCGAAAATTCAGGTTTCACGGCGCCTAGCGCCGGAAAATTTTTCGCTACGTGCCAACCCGTGGTCCGATTTTTATGTTTTTGGTATCACAAGATGTGCAAAGCTCGAGGCTAAAAAGTCATAACAGCTCGGGTCGCGAATTTTTTTTTTTTTGAAGTTATCGCGGAAAATGTTGAGGGGGGCGGATTCCGCCCCCCCCGGCCCCTTTAGGGTTAAAGTCACTCATCGATGAAATATTCTGTGACGGTAACTGGATTGATGATTCTCCTTAAAGAGCCCAATTTTGTTTAGATAAATCCTTAAAATGCAGGTTCGTGTTCAATTTTACCAAATTATTTCAATTTTCAATTTTCCTTTTTCAAGGGTATTTTGGTTTTTATGCTAATGCAAACGTTCATATTCATGAGCAAATGTGTGATGTCATTTCAGGCGGAAGCATCCATGTAGGACTAATTTCAGCACCAAACGTTAGGCGCACGCGCCTAATTAAGTTAGAAAGGGCCTCGTGGCTTCGCCACTTGCGAACGCTGGCTTGGTCTTTGCTCCAGTCGCTTCGTTTATTTGCGGCTTCGCCGCTCTAAGCCACGGTAGCCTTGGCGAAAGGCTACGTCCTCATTTGTCAGGTAAAACAAAAGTGTAAGTATTTTAAGAACTGCATTTTTTCAATACAATAAACCAAAAAGGAATGTGTTATATTTTTCGTATTTTTAAGAGGAGTAGCTACAATCCTGGCCAAATCTCGCTGGGCCCCCAACCCCCCGGCCCCCGCTCAATGGTGTCTCTCATTGCGCAGTGTGTGCTCCATCCGCTGGAGAGAACAACATTGACCGGGGAGCGGGGGAGTTGGTAACCGTTG